TTCAAAGTTTCACCATCATAGGCAACATCACAACAAACATCCAAGTAACTAACCCTGTATACATCTCCATTAATATTTGCTTAGTGGTAGAATTGCTGGGTCAAAATGTATCTAAAAAAAAAGATGTATCTAAAAATTCAAGAATTTTAACAACTACGGTTCCAATTTTAGTATATGTGCTGCCGAAGCGAGCACAAGAATTTTAACAACTATGAACAAAATGCTCTCCAAAAACCTACTTAACTGTTAATGGGAACCTAAACACAAGGTAATTAAGGGAAATGACAGGATGCTTTACTGAGTCGATCTGTGAGTCTTCAGGTACCTCAGTGAATCCCCAAATCTCAAACTGCAAAATGTTCCACATGTAACATGTCAAAAAGTCAAAAAAAGAGGGTAACGAACCTTGATATTAAAACCATACCTCTTACATGAATGCTGCAAGAAATGTAGAAGCATCAGAGAAAGAGGAAAAAGATCTCTTGGCAGTGATACACCACTGAAAAATAGCAGAGTCAAGTTCTCAAAAGCCTTCTAGTTTAATGTCATTTGAAGAAGTATTTCCTGTTAGTAAGTATAATATTCAAAATTATTAAAGTATTTTGTCATCACATCCATATATTAAAGGAGAAATGTCAAAAAAGATTTTGCTGGTGCTGACATTTCGATGAAGAAAAATAAAACTTTTAATACAATGAATAAGACCAACATTCTCTGAAGTTGCGTATTCAACACCGTAATTTAATACCATTCAAAATTTGGAACCTGAATATGTAGTTGTAGGTAAAAGCAGGCCTTAAGTAAACTGGGAAAAAAAATAATCTTTCAAAACTGATGACTCAAAACACTATACATGAGTTTTTCTTTTATTTTTCTGCATTTTTCAAAATTTCCTTAATAAAAAAAGTGCATAAACATAAATTAAGAAAGCTCAAACTTATTATTTAGGAAACAAAACTATGGGTGTTGCATTCAAGTGATTACCCTGATATCAAAAACCATTTTTGGATGATATACAGCCTATTATACAGTTCTAGAAATCATAAGAAACATAATGTAACTTTCTTTAAAAAGAGCGATCCCAACAAATTCTTTAAACCAGATTATTCTCATAGATGAAAACTGAATAAGTCTCCCTCACCACCACAAAATGTCCCCAGCGGCAAAAGGTAAAGAATTACTGCATGTGATAGCTCACTCACCTCCCTTCTCTAAAATACATTTACAGTTCAAGGGGAAAAAAAATTGACTGATTGCAATTAAAAAGCACCCTTGTTTAAAAAAAAAAAGACAAATACTTAAAGTTCAAATAAGTTACTACGAATCCTGACGACTAGGGACAGCAAAACACTCCCCAAGTCCTTTAAAGCATATGCAAAAAAAAAAAAAAAAAAAAAAAAGGATATACAGAAAAGATGAATTAACGGTGCTTTTTGATTTTACAAGACCATTCACAGCAACATTCACAGTTGGAAGGCAGCGGACTAAATTCCGGCACCTTTTTCTGAAGCCAGGAATTCCTTTCCCTGATGAAATAAGGGAATCCTTACGGAATAATAAAAAAGACACTCCTCAACTCAAAGTAACCCACGGGCTCCCAGGAAAGAGCAAAGCAAGCTGACACAACGCCACGGAGAACTTAGATCTAAAAAGGGAACACTGGACGTTCCGCTCTGCAAAACATCTACCGTTCTCCTCTCCCGACTCCCACCGACGCGCACAAACGCCACCGAGATTGGGGGAGGGCCTTGCAGTGCCGTCCAGGGTTGGCGGAGCAACTAGGAAGCTAAGCGTGGGTTCAGCCTGGTCCAGCAAGACCACCGGACGCAGACTCCGGCCACCGGGGGAGAAGAGCTGATGCTGCTACCGAGAGCCACCCCGCCCCGCCCTCCCGGCTGGGACGTGACCCGCGTCCTAACAGACACGCAGCTCGCCTTTCTGGGGACTCTTGGAATGTACAAATCGCTGCCATCAGCAGCCGGGCCGGCCGGGCGTCCTCCTGCCCTCCCGGAGCTGCGCGGCAGCCTCCCCGCGCGGGGACAGCCTGGAGTCCGCAGGCCGAGGGGGGCTCCCGGGTGGGCGGATTCCCCGCCACGGTCGGGTGGGCTGGGGGAAGGGCCGCACGCGCTATCTGCACAGTATTCCGAAGTCTGGAACCCAGTTTGCGGTTGTGGGGGAAAGCAAACCCAAGCAAACTGTAAAAAACAAAGTCCTTCAAAACTGGTGACAAAAAAAAAAAAAAAAAAAAAAAAAAGAAAGAAAGAAAGAAAGAAAATTTAGAAAAGAAAAGAAAGAAAAAATATATAGAGATAGATGACTCAAACCACTATCCATGGTGTTTCATCTTTCTGTACTATGGAAAACTCCTTTCATGAAGAAATCTATTGCTCTGAAATAAGAAAGCTCCGACTTATTATTTAAGGAACAAAAGGGTCAGCGTCGCATTCAAATGACTACTCCCGTGAGATCAAAAACTGTTTTTGGATGAGATGCAGCGTATTAGGCAACTCCACAAAGTAATTCTTTTTTTTTTTTTAAGAGCAGTCTTTAAAAAGAGCTCGTCGGATGTCTCCCTGATTGAGACGCGAACACCACGCTATTCGAAGACTCCTCATCACCACGGCGCCCTGTCCCTGCCGTGTAAGGGGTCGTCTACTTCGTCGCGGACCCCCTAGGCCGCCCGCACAGCGCCGCGTCCACAGAGCCCGTCCCGACCCGGGGACGAGCGCTGGGACCGCGAAGCCCAGCGACAGGGGCCGGCGAGGCGTCCCAGGGCTGTTTGCTGGCCGTCCCGCGCCTCCGCACACAAACTTGCGCAGCGCCGAAGACCGGCCTACTGGGGAGGGACAGTCACGGGGAGGGCGAGGAGGGGCGAGGAGGGGCGAGGAGGGAAGCGGAATCTGGACCCGAACCCCGTGACGCGAGGAGGCCTCGGCACGGCCAGGGCCCGCCCACCCGCCTTCGCTATCCCACCCACTGCCGAGAGCCCCGGAGGACGCAGCGGGGCCGGCGCCCGGGGGCAACGGCAGCGCTCACCGCTTCAGATGGTCCGAAGCCCGCCCGGCTGCGGCGGTCGCGGAGACCAAACTCGGCGCCGTGGCCCCGGCTGCGGCCCGGGGGGTGGCCCGGGCAGGAACCGGCTCCCGGGGCATCGCCGGCGGCCTCCACGGCACCCGCGCGCAGCCCCCAGCGCTGGGCGCACGCCGCCTCTCGGGCCACAGGGCGCAGGGCACCCCGGCGCGGCCCCGCCCACTCCCGAGGAGGGCCAATGGGCGCGGAGCGCGGGAAGCCGGGGCGGGGCGGGGCGCGAGCGGCGGGTAGGCCCACGACGCCGTGCGCTCGGAGGTCCTAGCCGCCCGCCCGGGTCCTTCAGAGTTTCGGAGCGCCCCGCCCCCACCTGCTTGGAATCGTGTGTGTCGGGTGAGTGTGGAGGGGGCAGGGGACGCACAGTCCGCAAATTAAAGATCTGTGAGAGTCGGAGGCGCCCGGGACACGCTTCTGACTTCGCGGAGTCTCTTTCTCTTCTCAGACTTCTTGGTCCGCTGATGACCGAACACCAGCCACAGGGTTTGGGGATGCACGGGAAACATAAACAGTCCCTACTTTAAAGATCTCCCGGTCAGTCGGGTGGGGGAGCAGATAAGGAAACAGGTGACTAGGAGAGCACCTCAGGAGGTGCATTCCCAAATCAAAAGTCCTGTTTTGCAATGCGGGGGTGGGGGGGGTGGGGGGGTGGTATGTGAAGGTGGGGGGTGGGTTCTCCCAGGAGAGACCTGTAAGACTGGTTACCCGGCAGTACTTGTAGCCATGATTCACAGTGGAGGACAGTGCACACATCTTTTTCATTTTCTTTTTTCCTAATGGTGACCTGATAATATGCACGACAGTTAGAAATTTCAGTAGCATCAAAATACAGTGATGTGCAATGAAAAGAAAGTTTCCATTAGCCATTGCTCCCTCCCACTCCCTCAGTTTTCTTTCCTGTTAACTAATTTGTTTTATGACCTTTCAAAGACACTCTGTGCAGTAAATATATATTACATGCTGTGTATGTTATATATATATATATATAGTCTTCCCTCAATCTCCCTCCCTCCCTCTCTCTCCCTCTTTCTCACACCTAGTATTCTTTTTTTTTTAAAGAATAGGAAATATTCTATTTTTTTTGAATTTTTTTTCTTAATTTTTATTTATTTATGATAGTCACAGAGAGAGAGAGGCAGAGACATAGGCAGAGGGAGAAGCGGGCTCCATGCACCGGGAGCCCGACGTGGGATTCGATCCCGGGTCTCCAGGATCGCGCCCTGGGCCAAAGGTAGGCGCCAAACCGCTGCGCCACCCAGGGATCCCTCACACCTAGTATTCTATGGAGTTTTGCCACCTTGGTTTTCTTCACTTAACACTGTATTTTGGACGACTTTTATTGTTTGTGATGATTGCATAGTATTTTACCAAATTATTATTTCAAGTTTTTTCCATTCTTTTGCTTTTCCAAACAGGGCTGCAGTCAGTAGTTATACTCCTATTTATAGCCACTTGGCATGTGAACAAATGTGTGTCTAGGCCAAATAGCTAGGTGTTGAATGCTGGATCCTAGGGTATGGGCTTTAAAAATTCTGGTAAATGTTGCCACACTGCTCTCCATACAGTGTGTGTCTGTTTATGCTCCCACAGCAATTTATCAAGGTGCCTGTTTCCTCACATCTCTCCATACAGTATGTTATCAAACTTAAGTTTTTTGAATTGCCATTCTGTGGGTTGGCTATTCATATCCTTTGCCCATTTTTCTATTCAACTATTGATCTTTTTTTCTTTATTATTGGAGATATAGATATCTATATTTATCTATCCTTCTCTATATAAATAAAACCAGTCCATTGTGAATAAATTGCTTCTCTTTCCTCCACCTTGTCTTTTGGTTTTGTTTATTGTATTTTTTGCAATGAATTATTTTTTATTTTCATATAGTCACACTAATTGATTTTTATTTATGTTTCTAGGTTTTTTAATCTTAGAAAGATTCTAAGATTGGCTGTCACTACCACCAAATTAAGATTCTTCCATGTTTCCTTTGGTATGTTTGATATCTATATGATTAATCCATAATGCAGATAATCCACAATAAAAATAATATATGTTATGATAAGGAAATAGAGCAAAGGATATGATCAGATAACTCTCCAAAGAAGGTATCCAAATGGCAAATAAGCACATGAAAAAATGCTTATAGTGTCAGTAGCCATCAACAAAATGAAAATCAACACCACAATGAGATACCACTTCACACTCACCAGAATGGCTAAAATCAAAAAGACAGATAATAAATGTTGATGCTTAGTCTCTTTGAGTCACTATAACAAAAATATCATAGCCTGGATAGCTGAAACAATGAACATTGATTTCTCACAGTTCTGAAGACTGAGAAGTCCAAACTTAAGGCACTGGGCAGATTCTGTGTCTTGTGGGGATTTGCTTCCTGGTTCAAAAATGCCTGTCTTAAACATGAGAGACATCTAGCTCTGGGAAATGAACAAGGGGTGGTGGAAGGGGAGGTGGGTGGGGGGTTGGGATGACTGGGTGATGGGCACTGAGGGGTCACTTGGCAGGATGAGCATTGGGTGTTATGCTATATATTGGCAAATTGAACTCCAATAAAAAAAAAAGAAATATCTGATGGAAAAAAAAAAAGCCTGTCTTATTCTATATGGCAGAAGGGGTGAGGCAACTCTCTGGGGTCTCTTTTAGAGGGCACTAATACCATGTATGAAGGTTCCACCTTTGTGACCTCATCGTCTCCCAAAGGTCCCACCTCCAAATACTATCATGCTATCATGTTGGGGATTAGGTTTCAACATATGAATTTTGGGGAAATGTAAACATTTCAGTCTGTAGCATCTGGCAAGTGTTACAAACCAAACTGTCCCTCCAAATTCATACTTTGAGACCTTAACTTCCAATGTGACTGTATTTGGAGATAAGGTGTTTAGAGAGGTAATCAAAGTGAAATGAGGTCATAAGAGGGCCCTAATCTAATATGACTGGTATGCTTAAAAAAAGAAAGGAAGAGATACCAGAGATATGCAAGGACACACATAGAAAAGACTATGTGAGCACACAACAATAAATGTTACTATCTGCCAGCCAAGGAGAGAAACCTCAGGAGAAAGGAAACCTGTTGACATCTTGATCTGGAACTTCTGGTCTCCAGAACTCTAAGAAAATTAATTTCTATTGTTTAAGACGCCCAGCCTGTGGTATTTTGTTTTGGCAGCTCTACAAAGCTAATGCAGCAAGAATGTGAAGAAATCAGAATCCTCATACACTACTGGTGGGAATGTAAAATGATGCAGCCACTTTGGAAAACAGTCTCAGTTAAATATAGAGTTACCGACTGTATGACCCAGGAATTACACTCCTACATATATACCCCAAAACATATGTTCACACAAAAACCTGTACATGAATGTTCGTAGCAAAATTATTCACAAGGCAAAAAGTGGAGGTAACACACGTGCCCATCAATTGATGAATAAATAAATGTGATATAGCTCTATGGTGGAACATTATTTGGCAATAAAAAGGAGTGAAGGGGGGATCCCTGAGTGGCGCAGCGGTTTGGCGCCTGCCTTTGGCCCAGGGCGCGATCCTGGAGACCCAGGATCGAATCCCACGTCGGGCTCCTGGTGCATGGAGCCTGCTTCTCCCTCTGCCTGTGTCTCTGCCTCTCTCTCTCTCTCTCTCTGTGTGTGACTATCATAAATAAATAAAAAAAATTTAAAAAAAAAAAAAAAAAGGAGTGAAGGGATGGTACATGCTACAGGATGGATGAACGTTGAAAACACTATGCCAAGTGAAATAAGCCAGTCATTAAGGACCACATATTATATGATTCCATTTATATGAAATTTCCAGAATGGCAAATCTATAGAAACAGAAAGATTCATGGTTATCTAGGTCTGGGGTGAGATGTAGGGTAAGTAAAGGCTAGGGGTATGGGGATTCTTTTTAGGGTAATGAAATGTTCTAAAATTTATTGTGGAGATGATTGCATAGCTCTGAGAATATACTAACATTCACTGAGTTATACACTTTCAGTGTGTCAGTTGTATGGTATGTGAATTATACCTCAATAAAGATGTTAAAATCAATACCCAGACTTTACTGGACATGAGGCCAAAGTATATGATCAAATATTCCGTAATGGGAAAACTCAGAGAAGTAAATTTTGGGGAAATGATTAGCCTTGCTGCGAGGTTAATTGAAAGTCACAAAGCAGAATGTTGGCAGAGCTAAGCAAAATGGCTAAACTCATAAATTGATACAATTACTTATTGGGACAACTGTTGATGAGAGAAGCACAAAATCTATGAGGTTATTCATGTTTGTGCCATAATCTACATTTGGGAATATATTCCCCCAAAACAACCCAAGTGAGAAAACCAATTTTCACTAAATGTTTATAGCACCACTCTTTGTAATGTGAAACTAAACTGGAAATACCTCAAGAACCTGATAATTCGGAGGATGTTTATTAAAGTGGGAAGCCTGGGCTGCATTCATAAATAAGAAAGTATATCCAATATAATGAGGAAAATAGAATTCAAATGAGTTTGGGAATGCTGATAAGTGTACATAAATAAATGTACATTGTTGAGTATATTGAAGAGGAAATATAGTATTAAATGGCACCAGTATTCCTCTTAGAATGAAACTGTATTCATTTGGAAAAATAACCTGATAAGCTCTTTCTGGTATAAGGTGATACTCCAAAAAAGACATGGGGACACCTGGGTGGCTCAGCGGTTGAGTGTCTGCCTTTGGCTCAGCTCATCCCGGGGTCCTGGGATCAAGTCCTGCATCAGGCTCCCTGCAGGGAGACCACTTTTCCCTCTGCCTCTCTCTCTGTGTCTCTCATGAATAAATAAATAAAATCTTTAAAAAACTAAAAACAAAACAAAACAAAAAACCATGGAAGTAGTTGAAAGCCCCAGCAACACAAGAAAAGCTGCTCTCTGTGTACACACTAGAGGAACTTACATTTACATTTGCTAGTGGGAAATCTCTGGTGATAGGGTAGCAAAATGGACCCTAAAGACAGGAATGTCTAATATATACATTTTAAATTGTTTTCTCAAATCTTAAAATCTCACTAATGCTGTGTGTGAATGGGGTTTTGTAGAAACTGAAGAAGAGCCTGAAGATGGGACAGTTGGAACAGTGAAAAGACAGCAGCCATGGATATAGGGACTCAGGGGAGAGAAGACAAGAAAATGAGTCCCTGGGAGAAAGATGTCAGTAATCTTGGGAAGGACTCTGAACACCCAGATTGGATGTTTGGGGCATTCTCCTTGAGATTACAAAGGGAAGGGAGGCTCTGGCTGACATTTGCCTTACATAAAGGATACGAAAGTAACATGAAGTAAATGCAGGTGTTTTAAGTTTATAGCAGGCTTAAATGTATGATTTTTTTAAAAAATTCTCATTTGTTCTAAAAATATTGATCCTTATCCACAGACTAAAACAGAATGAATGGATCCTGGCTAAGCCTCTACTGTGGCAAAAATCTGGGGGAAGTGATGTTCAGGTAAACCCTGGATAATGGCTAGGGGGATGGAAATGAATGTGTAAGATGGAAAAATGTATACCCTTTCTCTTTAGCAGTAAGGAAGGCCTGAAGGGGGGTAGTTAGGCTGTCCCCTTATAGAAACATTGTTTTATGTGTTCTGCATTAAAGTGTTATTAGAGTAAAAATAGGATCAAATGTTCAAGAAGGCTGGTCTGTGCAAAAAGTTCAAAAGAACTAAGGTGTAAATGACTCTCAGTATGCATGTTGAGGTTCTTAATTGGCTAACTCCACAATTCATGACTTCCACTGACTTAGCCAGAGGCAGGTTACTAACCAGGCCTAATTTACAGATGGCAGGTCTGTGGCAGAGGGCCTAGAGGTGATTTTCCCAAGGTTATAGAGCAAGCCAGAGCGTGAGCCGAAAATAGAATTGTACCTCACACTGCCATGCAAGCTACATGATAACTTGTGTACTGTCCGCAGAATTGAGGAGTCAATGTCCTGGAGAGGTTAGCCTAGTTTTATGGCTAAAGGAGCTTTCCTCAACAATTGCAAAATGCTACTTGACAACAGCAAATGACCTACTTCATCTTGTAAACAGTAACATTATAGACAAAATTAAGCAAAAGTGTCAGGAAAAAAAATTACTTTTTTGACCATAGCAAATTTTGAAGCTACTATTTGTATAATGTGTAGTACTGTAGAGCTGGTTGTCCTCTTCCTCTAAAGACTAAACTTCCAAATGATGACTCTCAACACTCTAATACCAGCAAGCTTATAGGATCTGGCTGACCTGCCTAAATATTTTCAGAAGTGTAGGATTTTTCCGGATTTCTCAAAGGGTAGGATTTTAGGCCTCAGTGTTGACATTCTGTAAGTTTCCTTACTAAATGAAGAGAATTAGAAAGTACAATGGGATAGGCAGTTAGAGCCACAAGGCTTAGCCACTAAATTTATGCCTCTTGGGTTACCCTGGCTATGAAAGGATTGCTTAGCCAGCTACTATGCTGCACCTGAACTACCATGCTCCTATTTTCAGGAAAAACAACAAAAGCTAGTACCACTGTTAGGTAACTCTTCTCTAGAGTAGATTTTGACATTGCACTGATCTAGTCAACAAAAAGCTTTACAAATTTATGTCTTCAGGAGTGTTGTTAATCCCGTTCCCAGTTTTTAGAGTGGGTTCTTCTTGACAATTGCTGTACTGGATTAACACTTATGGGCCAGCTCTAAAAGAATATCACAAATGATCACAGACTATGGGGACCTGACTGCCAGTTTCCTTCCTATCACATGTGAGGCTGCACTTTTACTGCTTTAGCTCAGTGCTTCAGTCTCCTGCCTTCTATAAGACCCTGACCAAAAAGATAAACTCTGTACAATAGAAAAAAGAAAGTGATATATCTGGCAACTATTTCTCAGAGAACTCTCATTTCATTGTTAAGAATGGTGGAAGCCAGACCCCTTTCCATAACATAACATCCTATCTGAAACCATCTTACAGAGACCCCATAAAAAGCAGGAAATGACAGAACTGCCTGAACAAAATGTAGATCAAAGTGTCCAGGATAAAATCAGGATTATTAGAAATGTTACCTTTTGCAGGCAATATTTTATTAATGTCTTAAAAGGCAATTACGGTGAGGTGAAGGGAAAATCCAGACATCCAAATTTGCATGAAATTTTTTTGCTCTTTCAGTCTCTTTTAGCATAAATATTTTGGCTGCTTCCAGGTTGTTTTTATCCCCCCTTTTAAGCAGCACAGTGACATAGGTCAGGATTTTCTGAGTTATATTAACATAAATAGATAGTTTAAATACGTTTAGTGTGGGAAGTGGATCTAGCATTATTCAGAATTCCTTTTGAGTATTTTTGGCCATTCTGTCTAAATTCTAGCTGTACACAGGGTTTGTCTCTGCTCACTGAAACAGGTAGCCTATGTTTCATACAGAAGAGCTCCAAAGAGTCAACAGTGTACCTGGGTCACCCCTTTGCTCACTTCTACTCCTCCTTTCTCAGTTGGACCTATACTCTGTTGTCCAGTTTTGTTTTATTATGAACCTTCGTTTAGCCATTTCTGTATGCAAAGTTCCAACATATGGACTATTTTATTTGATTTCATGTATTTGTCCATTTTTTCACAAAGATTTCTGTCCCTCCAGGAGACATAAGTATCCACTACCCTTCTAAGGCTGCAATTGAATGAGGGAGATAGCAACCATAACAAACACAATGTAAGAATATATGAAGTAAGTGCTAGAGGTAAGCTTTGGGGTTCAGAAAGACTTGTGTTCAAACCAGCTCTGCTATACACTAACCAAGTGACCTTGGTTGAATTATTGAACCTTACTGACTGTCTGTTTCACCATCCAGGAAAAAGAGTTTGGCAGTTCACTTTCAAGATGGCCCTCAGGATCCTGATATTCATGTGCTTATATAATCCCCCTGCCTCAAATGTGGGCTGGACCTAGTGACATGCTTTTAAAAAGTGAACACTACAAAAGTGATGGGATGTGACTTCCATTGTGAGAATTCAAAAAACTGACTTCTGTCCTCCTGGCTTTTCTCTCTTACCTTCTTAGCTTATGTGTTTTAATGAAGCAAGCTGCCATGTTAGAGAGCCCCACGTGGTAAAGAATGGAGAGAAGCCTCCAGCCAACAGCCACCGAGGAACTGAATCCTGCCAGCAAGCACATAAGTCAGCCTGGAAGCAAATCCTTACCCACTAGGGGCTTGCAATGACCATAGCTTGTGATGGTTGGCTGCAGCCTGTGATGTCAGGGACCCAGCTAAGCCAGCCTGGAACTCTGACCTTGTGGAAACTATAAGATAATAAATGTTGTTGAAACCCACTACACTTGGGGGGTAATTTGTTATAAAGTGATAGATAACTAGTACAATGGGATAACATGTTCCTTGAAGAATTATCACAGGGATTAGAATGTATACAAGGATTAGAAGAATGACAATAATAATAATGATAATGACAACAGGGGATCCCAGCTAAGCTTAAATTAAGACTCAGAACCTGGTAGAAATGCTGCTATTGTAAAGTTATTTTTAGTGCTTTAGCCTCCTGAGAAGTACAAGAGAGAATAAAGTATGAAGAACAGGGTATCATATTTCTCAATCAGGCTCAGACTATGTCGGACTCTGATAGAAAGGGGCTTGTGAGCAGAACTAGAAGTAGCAGGTTTGTGAGAGCCAGTGAATAAGAAACAGTGTGTGGGAGCCCAGGTGACGGAGTGTCACCAAGAACTGGGGAGAGGATCATTCTACCACTTCTGTTCAGGTTGGAGCATAGCTACAGCTATAAACAGAAGTCAAGGGATAATGCAATTGTTCAGCTCATACCTTGGGAGCATGGAGCATAGGACCCTTGGCAGGAAAGAAGGGATCTCGTGAGGGACACTGGCCACAGTGGAGGTGACAAGGCCCTCCTGCTTCTACTGAGACTGGCACATAGCTATTTCTATGTTTGTGGTTGGTGAACAGTAAAAGAGACTGGGAAAGGAGCATAAGCACACTTGATTCTGGGCAGCCTCTGAGAAGGGAAGCTGAGGACCTATGTCACCATAAGCCAGGGCATTGGTTTATAGGTGTCTTAGAGGACATGCAGAGTTCTGACAGGCAAAGAAAGGTAAACAGACATTCTAAACTAAGGGAACAGCCCATATAAAGATTCAGAGTTGTGAGGAGAAGTCATTTCTTTAGGGAAAAACAAGTAGTCCTGGGTGATCAGGGAAAGGAGTACAAACTAGTTAACATCTCCTATTCTGGGAGATGCCTGGGTGGCTCAGCGGTTTAGCGCCTGCCTTTGGCCAAGGAGGTGATCCTGGAGTCCCAGGATCGAGTCCCATGTCGGGCTCCCGGCATGGAGCCTGCTTCTCCCTCCTCCTGTGTCTCTGCCTCTTTCTCTCTCTGTGTGTCTATCATAAATAAATAAATAAATAAATAAATAAATAAATAAATAAATAAATAAATAAATAAATCTTAAAAAAAAAAAACTATTCTGGTTCTGATTTAGTTTCTAGACCAGGTTTTGGGTGTTGGTTTTCCTTCGCAGTCTTAGAAATTACTGATGACCTCAAAGAGCTTTTATTTCTGTGGTTAATATCTTTTGAATATTTACTGTATTAGGAATTAAAGCCGGTAACTTAAAAAAAGAATATTTAGTTTGAAAGCATCTAATATAACGATAATAAACCTATTAATATAAATAGCATATTTTAAGGAAAATTATCTACATTTCCTAAAACACAACAGAAATAAGTGAGAGAGTGGCATTCTTTTACATTTTTGAAAATCTTTTTAATGTCTGGTTTGATACAAGGCAACTGGATTTTCATATCTGTTTCTGCATCAATCTCTTACAATCTCACACATCACATTGCCTCTGGAAGAGGGCACTTGATGCTTGTGAGAGAATAAGAGTGAAGACAACAAAGTAGGTTTTCATTTATGAAAACAGTTTTGATCTCCCAGGGAGATCCTGACAGGGTTATGGGGACCCACAGAAGTCCCTGGGCCACACTTCGAGAATCACTGCCCTGGAGCAAAAGCAGTAGATGTTCCTGAGAGAAAAGGCCAGAATTTACACATGTAGTAATTGGTGATGAGAATACTATTTTTTTTTAAAGATTTTATTTGTACATATTCATGAGAGACACCAAGAGAGAGGCAGAGACATAGGCAGAGGGAGAAGCAGCCTCCCTGCGGGGAGCCTGATGCAGGACCCGATTTGAGGACCCTGGTATCACGACCTGAGCTGAAGGCAGATGCTCAACCACTGAGCCACCCAGGTGCCCCAAGAATACTATTAATAATATCGATATCTACCACGCATTGGGTGCTGACTATATGCTATTCTAAGCACTCACTAGAACCAAAGAAGCATTTATAATTCGATTTTCCAGATAAGGACAAAGAAGCGAAGTAACTTGCCCAAGTTTCCATAGCCAGCAAGGGGTGGTGAAGCTGGAGGTACAAACACGGGCAGCCTGACTCCAGAGCCTGTGCTAACCACTGTACTGCCCTGCCTCTCCCAGGGACAAAAGGCTGCAGTATAAATCACAAAGGGTTGAGTCATTCCACTCATTCACCCCTTCTCCACCCCCTTCTCCCTGCCATTTTAGATTTCAATGCTCTTTTCTCTTTCCTTTGTGTGTTTCAGGAACTCATATTCCTTTTCACTCTGCAGTAAATCCTTGTACATTGCCTGTTGTTCATTATTCCCCCCCACTCCACAGAAGCTGCTCTCTCAAAGGCACCAATGACCAGATAATGACCAGATTCAGTGACTACTTTTCAGTCCTCATCCTCCTTGCTCTTTAGACATGGGATATTATTGGCCATTTTATTTTTTATTAAAATTCTTTCTGCTGGGCACAAGGGTGGCTCAGTGGTTAAGCATCAGCAGGCTCCCTGCTTCTCCCTCTGTCTATGTCTCTGCTTCTCTCTCTTTCTGTGTCTCTCATGAATAAATAAATAAAATCTTTAAAAAAAATTCTCTCCTCTATTGGTTATTCTGACACCAGACACTTCTATTTCTCTCATCCACTTCTCCAGTAAATTCTTTTCAGAAAATTCTTTATGAGATATCTTTTTCTTGGCCCATCCCTTAAACATCTTCATTCCTCAGTGTCAGTTAGGTTGTAGGCCCATTTTTCCTCTCATTCTTAAATTCGCCAACTGCCACATCATTTACCTCCATGGCTTTAATTACTAAATATACACTATTGACACCCAGAGACATTATTTACAGCTCAGTCCACTGTCATATGTCCAAATGATGTATACGCATTCCTCAGGCACCTTCACACATCCAATCCCTTGGGACAGATCATCTCTCCCTTTAAAGTGATCACTCCTCCTGTGGTCTTTAACCCAGGGAATTATACCAACCATCCTCTGTGAGCCAGATGCTTGGGGGACTTTCCACACTTTTCCTACCTCCCCTCTACCTAGGATCTGCCCCATGGTTCTTCTGGATCTGCCTCTGAAACATTTCTAAAATGTCCCTGACCCTAGCTCAGACCCTCCTCTTCTATACCCAGATTATTACACAAGCCTCATTAGTAGCTCACTTTCATCTAGTTCTGGCTCCTGACAGTTCATCCACAGCAGCAGAAGCTGCTCTTCTGCATGACCTAGATACTGTCATTACATCGTATCCTTTATTATTGGTACTTCCTGGACTTGTGCAACACTCAGGCTTTGTACATATTGCTGTTGAAATATGCCTTCTAAGTCCTATGTGTGACTGGTCACTCCACAGCCTGAAACCACTCTCATGATTCCCTGTTGCCTTCGGGATAAAGCCCAAACCCCAACACGCTGTTCCAGTTATTATGGCTGTGTAGCAAACTACTGTAAATGTAGCAGTAACCATCTTGTTAGACTTGTGGCTTCTGTGGGTCATAAATTTGGAGAGGGCGTAGGAGGAATGGTTTATCTCTTCTCCTTGATGTTTTTGGCCTTACCTGGAGCTGTCTCCATAGCTGGTGACTGGGACCATCTGAAGTCCTATCTGGTACCTGGGGTATGTGGAGAAGATTAGGCTTACTGACTAGAGCACCTGCGTGTAGCTTCTCCTTCTGGCTTGGTTTCCTTATAGCTTGGTGGTCTCAATGTCTTACATGACATTTCAGAGTTCCAAGTACCAGTGCTCCAGGAAACAAGTCAGAAGCTACATACCATTTATGACAGCCTTTAGGTTCACACAGTCTACATTCTGTTGGTTACAGGCAAATTTGTCCAGATTCAAGGTGAGGGGACATAGACTTAACCTCTCAATTGAGAGTATCTGGTCACACTGTAGATGAGTATATGAGATGGGATGGTATTGTGGCCATCCATGGAAAATACAGTGTGCCATACAAACTATACCAGAACCTGCTGACAAACCCAGCCTCCCCACTTGCTATCTCTCCTTGATCCCTGTGCTCTGGTCACACAAACTTCTGGCCTTTCCCTTCTGCACCTGTTGCTTCCCCTCTACCTGCACATTCCTGCACCTCCCTTAAGAGTTAGCTCAGGCTCAGTTACTGTAGGCAACTTAGGCAGGCATTAATTAAAAGAAATAATCTCATTTTAGGAATGACGAAAAATAGAGATAAGGATCCCTCAAGCAAAATAGAATCTAGAAATAGACACAAGGATACACTGAAATTTCATATTTGACATGGGGGGTAGGGAGAAGATAGATGCCCATTCTCTCATGTAAGAGTCAGCTTCATCTGGTAGGCATTGGAAAAGTAGACATTTGTCAGACATCCCTCTTTCCTCCTGAGTTATCAACTCTGTGTGTGCTCTACCCAGCTTGCTCTTCTCTACCTGGGGCTCCTGGACACATCCCCCATAGATTCTGCTCCTTGATGTCCACACCACCACCACACAAGGCTGCCCAAGTACATTCTACTCTACTGAAGGATTGGGGAAAATGATAGGAATCACAAGGTAGGGAGTGGAACTTAAGAGCTGAGTGAAAAATGTGTTTTTTTTTTCTCCAGAAAATGCCTATGATGTTTATTTAAGATGTCAACAGTGTTTATTTAACATGTATTTATTGAGTATCCTCTATGTATCAGAGGCAGTTCTGAGTGCTGAGGATAGAATGATGTAGCAGATGGTGTTAAGGCTGCACCCTTATACCTTGGGCCTTAGAATGCACCTCATCTCATTTCTTATCATTAGGATCTGCATCTTTTTGCCTATTGATTTTCTTTAGCAGGCAGAATATGGCATGGCCATGGACAGGTGGATCCATCAGGCCAGGAGTACATAGGAATTAACATACCCTAGAAACAGCCATTATTGGTGACTAACAGGAGTTGGTGTGTGAATATCTCAGCAA